TGAGTTCATACTCATTGACACAGATACGGTGCTTGCAGTTTGCCGCGCGCGACAGCGGACAGCCATAAGCAATTCACTCACTTGATCGAATGGAGCGATCCAAAAGCAATCGATCGGATCACAGTTGGATATCGTTGAGTGGTAATCTGTACGATATTGATCCAAAACACACAGTCGTTGATCATGATAGTTATGATAACCAGTATTGTGACAGCTGAAACACTCAAATACCATGGCAGTTTCAAAAATGATTTTTTTATTATTACTCAGTTAATTTTATTATTATTTTTATTAGGTATTTTATTTTTTATTATTTTTACCAGCGATTATATTTATTTTTATTATTTGATTATCAATATAGACCACAATACATGTGAATTAAAGTCCTAGAACTCACCAATATTGTTATAATCGTATCCAAGTGATATCAATAGTATAATAACACCGAAGAGAACCGCTTCAATCACTGAAATGGAGGATTCCAGATGGAAACAAAATTTAAAATTGAGAGAACGGGAAATTCAGGTTTCGTAAAAAATGCGCTCACATAACGCTCCGATGAACTGAATCTTTCGACCGAAGCCTTTGAATTGTAGATCAAGGAAGATGATAATAAATGGAGTGAAAAGGCGGAATAAGCCATCCAAGAACGTAAACATGATCACGGAATCTGAAAATCGATACTGGTCATATCTGGATGGAAAAAGGGGCGTCTCAAAAGTCTTAGTTAGGGAGGACGTAAACGGGAACGTAGTGAGGCCTGTTCCCGCTCACTGGCCCACCTGACGCCCCCTCCTTTCCAGATAATTTTTTCATTGAACTTTTTTTTGTTGAATTTTTTTTTCGAGAGCTCTGAGGAGTAAAGAGCGAAAAATTTGGGTTAGTCGAACTCTTTGCCATCCTGTTGATGCAAAAGGAAGATGTCCTTACTGTGTACTCCATCGACAGTGTAGAGATATGTATTCGAGACCATAGCATAGGTAAACATCGATAGGATTTGCATCAGGGACTGCTTTGCAAGACGAGGTGTGACATAGACAGCATTCCTTCATATGCTGCTAGAACTCATACTTTTCGCCTACACAGGACTTATGCATGATATATGCGCATTTAAATGCAGTCTGCAGCCACGCCCTCTCTATCTGCGGGAAACAATGTCCACGCAGTAAAAAAGTGCCACTTGTATTGAGTACATACTGTATTATGGTGGATGACAATATTACCTGAAAAGGTGGTAGAATGTATAGAAACGTTTCTTCTCGTTCTTGTGAATGGATGAAATATCTGAAGTAGTGAAATGCGCTTTAGTGTTGTTCCAGCGCTCATGTGCAATGTCGTTTAGAACCTGAAACAGGATGAATTTTCATGGTTACGGGATCCTTTTTGGAGTTGGAGGCTGAACTCACATCACAAGCTTTGTCGAGTTTGTTGGTGGCAATCAACCATCGTGGTGATTCCAAAAACAGCATAAAGCCTATCGTAAGTGGTGATGAGACCAAATTAAGGAACACGAAGAAGTTTTGCCAACCCTGAAAGTATTCGTTGGGTTCACATTCCAGGATTTTATCAATGTCAATCGCAAAATTGTCGAACACACATTCTACGGTCATCAAACTGTGCGGTGACCTATTAAGCCATGTGCCCTTGCTGGTGAGCTGCTGCTCTTCACTCCATAACGGTAAGGCTGCGTTTATACTTTGCGGCAGCGTAGCGTAGCGCTTCCAGCGTACGCCAGCGGCAGTGTCGGGGAAAGGATAGATAGCGTTCCCAGCGTCACCAGCGTACGCTAGATCGATATCTATCCTTTCCCCGACACTGCCGCTGGCGTACGCTGG